AGGTGTTTCATCTCCGTTATGCGCGCCGTGAAGGTTCTCTGTACATTTTCTAGGTCAGCAATTTCACCTACTTTGAAAGGGGCTGTTAGTGTGCAGCAATATTCCAGCCTAGATAGAAAAAGCGACCTGAAGAGTGTCATCATGGGCTTGGCATCCCTAGTTTTGAAGGTTCTCATTATCCATCCTGTCATTTTTCTAGCAGATGCGATTGATACAATGTTATGGTCCTTGAAGGTGAGATCCTCCGACATGATCACTCCCAGGTCTTTGACGTTGGTTTTTTCGTTTTTTTTTTTTGTGGCCGGAATTTGTTTTGTACTCTGATGAAGTTTTAATTTCCTCACGTTTACCATATCTGAGTAATTGGAATTTCTCATCGTTGAACTTCATATTGTTTTCTGCAGCCCACTGAAAGATTTGGTTGATGTCGCCTGGAGTCTTGCAGTGTATTCAATGGAAGACACTGTCATGCAGATTCGGGTGTCATCTGCAAAGGAAGAAAGACACGGTGCTGTGGCTGACTACAGATAACCTATAGATAGCCCAAAAAAAATTACCCGCCAAAACTGGACACTAGTATTTTACCCGACCAAAATTTGACACCAGAAATTATTACCGGCCAAAAATCTTTATAAATTAAACATCCTAGTAAACAATAATTCATATATAATAGAAATCCTAAAAGAATTTTCAGGAATCTTTAAAAAAAATAATATAAATGGCCTGTGAAAATTTTGCCTCAAGTCGTCAGCATTGTTGTGGTGGAGATGGCGGCGAGGCTGCACCCTGGGGAGGGACGCGAGGCTGCACCCTGGGGAGGGACGCGTGTTCACACTGCGTTTTAAAATTAATTAGACTGGTTTAGTGAGCTTGTTGGAACATCACCCTGGGGAGCAAGGGAGCAAGAGGGGTGACAGGGAGCCAATACATCCCAAACCCTTAGGGGCGTGGTGTGCCTATCAAGGTGAGGGGAGATGAGAGATCACACCCTTATTTTTAATATATATATATATATATATATATATATATATATATATATATATATATAATATATATATTATATATATATATGTATGTCGTGCCGAATAGGCAGAACTTGCGATCTTGGCTTAAATAGCAACGCTCATCTTGCCATATAGGACAAATGAAAATTTGTATATGCCATAATTTCGTCAAAATCATTCTGAACCTAACGAAAAAAATATATTTCACTGTGTTTGTTTAGTATTAAATTATTGTAAACAAATCTAAAATATATTTAGTTAGGTTAGGCTAAAATAAATTGTTCTTGTTATAATAAGGTTAGGTAAGTTTTCAAAGATGCTTTTGGTGCAAAATTATAAAATTTTACATTAAGATTAATGAAAAAAAAATGTATCTTTAAACGTATGAGAGAAAATTTTGGAAAGGACTTAATTTTAAATGAGTTCTTGCTAATTGACCAGTTTTACATATTCGGCACGACATATATATATATATATATATATATATATATATATATATATATATATATATACCTATTGTCTCTTCAAGGATCTGATGTTGGTGCTCTTGATTCGCGGAATTGGGACTAAGCAATGTACGCTCAGGGGTGTGGTAGCTCCAGGATTAGGGAAGATTGGGAAGTCACAAACATGGTTTAAGTTTAACTCTACCTTAAGGTTTATGACGAGGACGACAACCACAACCACACCAGCCACAATCATGGCAACCACAGCATCAACCACAATAACTACAACCACACCAGCCATAACCATGGCAACCACAGCAACCGTAACAACCACAGTAACCAACTACTAAATATATTTTAGATACGTTTACAATAATCTAGTAATAAACAAACACAATGAAATATATTTTTTTTGTTAGGTTCAGAATGATTTTTGCTAAATTATGCATACAAAAATTTTCGTATGCCTTATTCGGCAAGAAAAATGTTTGCCATTTAAGCCAAAATCGTAAGTTTTTACCTATTCGGCACGACATTTATATATATATATATATATATAATATATATATTATATATATATATATATTATGATCATTTATTGACAAACGTTTCGCCCACACAGTGGGCTTTTTCAAGTCACAAACAGATCTACCTGGGGTGATCTGTGTGTGTGTGTAGTGTGTGTATATATATATATATATATTATATATATATATATATATATATATATATATATATATATAATTGTGCCGAATATGTAAAACTGGTCAAATAGCAAGAACTCATTTAAAATTAAGTCCTTTCCAAAATTTTATCTTATACGTTTAAAGATATATTTTTTTAATTAATCTTAATGTAAAATTTTATAATTTTGGACCAAAAGAATCTTAGAAAACTTACCTAACCTTATTATAACAAGAACAATTTATTTTAGCCTAACGCAACTAAATATATTTTAGATTTGTTTACAATAATTTAATACTAAACAAACACAGTGAAATATGTTTTTTTCGTTAGGGTCAGAATGATTTTGGTGAAATTATTGCATACACAAATTTTCACTTGTCCTATATGGCAAGATGAGCGTTGCTATTTAAGCCAAGATCGCAAGTTCTGCCTATTCGGCACGACATATTTTTTTTTTCAACAAGTGGGCCGTCTCCCACCGAGGCAGGGTGACCCAAAAAAGAAAGAAAATCCCCAAAAAGAAAATACTTTCATCATCATTCAACACTTTCACCTCACTCACACACAATCACTGTTTTTGCAGAGGTGCTCAGAACACAACAGCTCAGAAGCATATACGTATAAAGATACACAACATATCCCTCCAAACTGCTAATATCCCGAACCCCTCCTTGAGAGTGCAGGCATTGTACTTCCCATTTCCAGGACTCAAGCCCGGCTATATGAAAATAACGACATATATATATATATATATATATATATATATATATATATATATATATATATATATATATATATATATATATTATGTATGTATATATATATGAGAAAGAGAGAGAGTAGATAGACAGGTAGGGATTTAGAGATGAGGTTACTCTGTGGTGTTGAGGTCAGAAGTGCAAAGTTGGCAGAGGTAAAAGGATAGTTGGTCAGGTGACACTGATCTCTGAGTGGGTGAGCCAGGTAAGAGAGGGAAGTTACTGAAAGATTATCTCGTACGTGCTGAGATGTGCTCTTAGAAGTATCATATCGCGAGGTACTTAACCCCCACCACCACCACCACCATGCATAGCGAGGTGCTTCACACGTAGAGTTAGCCACAGTTGGGAGACTTCAGCAGTGTCATTCTAAGCTGGGAGACTTCAGCAGTGTCATTCTAAGCTGGGAGACTTCAGTAATGTCAGATTAAGATGGGAGACTTCAGCCGTGTCAGCCTGAGCTGGGAGACTTCAGCAGTGTCAGCCAGAGCTGGGAGACTTCAGCAGTGTCAGCCACAGCTGGAGGACTTCAGTAGGTCAGCCAGAGTGGGAGACTTCAGTAGTGTCATCAGAGCTGGGAGACTTCAGTAGTGTCAGCTAGCTGGGAGACTTCAGCAGTGTCAGTTAAGCATGGGAGACTTCAGTAGTGTCAGCCTGAGCTGGGAGACTTCAGCAGTGTCAGCCAGAGCTGGGAGACTTCAGCAGTGTCAGCCAGAGCTGGAAGACTTCAGTAGTGTCAGCCTGAGCTGTGAGACTTCAGTAGTCAACCTGAGCTGGGAGACTTCAGCAGTGTCAGCCTGAACAGGGAGAATTCAGTAGTGCCAGTCTGAGCTGGAAGACTTCAGTAGTGTCAGCCTGAGCTGTGAGACTTCAGTAGTCAGCCTGAGCTGGGAGACTTCAGCAGTGTCAGCCAGAGCTGGGAGACTTCAGTCAGTGCCAGTCAGAGCTGGGAGACTTCAGCAGTGCCAGTCAGAGCTGGGAGACTTCAGTAGTGTCAGCCAGAGCTGGGAGACTTCAGTAGGACAATGAGGATAGCGTCAAGTATCCTAACAAGTGTTAATCAGGTACAGCAGCTTCAAAGTTAACCTTCCAGCATACCTGGAGTTACTATCACCTGGGAATTACCATCTCTCAGGACAGCCTATTCCATACACAGGAAAAATAGAATTTATACTAAGATATCTCCATCATCTTAGAGTGAGAGCGAGATGAATAGTTAAGACAGAGGTAATACCAGCATTTATATTGTCAATTCCACACGTAGAATTCACGTTACGGCATTTAGTGATCACAAATGCTACAAGTCTACCAAAATATCAGCCGAGTTCACAGGAAGAAGAGAATGCTAGAATTTTTGGGGGGAGATCCTAGTAACCTAAGAGCGTCTAGAAAACATCACGAGTGCCGTGAAACTAGTTGAAAATCGAGAATTCCTATGAGCTACAGAGTTCTCCTAAACACTAGAGAGCATCTAGGAAGGCATCAAGAGTTCCTAGAAATTTGAGAGCGTATGGGAAGGCAATAGTTCCTAGACACTAGAGAGCTTCTAGTAAGTCAAAAACAGTTCCTAGAGAGCTTATGGGAAGTTGAAACACCTTGTATGTGCTCAGAAGAGCACATAAGAGCTCTAGAAACTAGAGAACGCCTAGAAACTCAAGAGAAAACACTAGCTATTGTTACTTAGAAAATTTTTCTGGGAAAGTAAATTGGAATGCAAAAATATGAGTTGTGAGCTCTGTGTGAGTATTAGAGAGTTGTGAGCTCTGTGAGTGAGTATTAGAGTTGTGAGCTCTGAGTGAGCATTAGAGAGTTGTGAGCTCTCTGAGTGAGCATTAGAGAGTTGTGAGCTCTGTGAGTGAGGATTAGAGAGTTGTGAGCTCTGTGAGTGAGGATTAGAGAGTTTTGAGCTCTGTGAGTGAGCATTAGAGAGTTGTGAGTGACCTTTTAGAGAGTTGTGAACTCTGTGAGTGAGCATTAGAGAGTTGTGAGCTCTGTGAGTGAGCATTAGAGAGTTGTGAGTGACCTTTTAGAGAGTTGTGAGCTCTGTGAGTGAGCATTAGAGAGTTGAGAGATCTGAGAGCGACCATTAAAGAGTTGTGACTCACCCTTATGCGACATGTCGTCCAGAGAGGTGGGCGCCCACGGGTGATGGCCATGTGGGCCATGTGGCCCATGTGGCCCATGCGGGCCATGCGGCCCATGCGGGCCAGCATCCACCGGAGAGAGCATATCGGTGGCCACTTGCGGCCCGCCCGGCCCGCCACCGCTACCGCACACCCTGCGGAAGGAGCTGATTAGTGTGGTAGTGGTGGTGGTTAGTAGTTGTGGTGGGGTGTGGTAGTAGTGGTGGTTGTGGTGGTGAGGTGTGGCGGTGGCGGCGGCGGCGGTGGCGAGGTAACACGACGTTGGTGGTGGTGGTGGTGTGATGGTAATGATGGTGGTTGTGAGGTGTGGTAGTGGTGGTTGTGAGACGAGGTGGTCGTTGTTGTGAGGTGTGGTTGTTGTGCTTGCGAGGTGTGGTAGTGGTGCTTGTGAGGTGTGGTAGTGGTGGTTGTGAGGTGTGTTGTGGTGCTTGTGAGGTGTGGTTGTGAGGTGTGGTAATGGTGGTTGTGAGGTGTGGGTAATGGTTGTGAGGTGTGGTTGTGAGGTATGGTTGTGAGGTGTGGTTGTGGTGCTTGTGAGGTGTGGTTGTGAGGTATGGTTGTGAGGTGTGGTTGTGGTGGTTGTGAGGTATGGTTGTGAGGTGTGGTGTTGTGAGGTGTGGTTGAGGTATGGTTGTGAGGTGTGGTTGTGGTGGTTGTGAGGTAGTGATGGTATTGGTGGCTGTGAGGTATGATGGTGGTTGTTGTGAGGTGTAATGTTGGTGGTTGTGTGGAGATAACAGTGATGGTGGTGGTGGTGATAATGGTGGTGGTTTTAATTGTGGTGTGATGATAATGGTGGTTTTAATGGTGTGGTGATAATGGTGGTGTGATGATAATGGTGGTGTGATGATAATGGTGGTGGTGATAAATATGGTGGTGAGGTGCGATGGCGAGTATGGTAATGAGTATAGTAGTGGTAACGGGTTTTTTAGTGGTAATTAGTATGGTAATGGTAATAAGCATGGCAGAGATAATGATTCAAGTTGTGTTAATGAATATGGCAGTGATAAGAAGTATGGTAGTGGTAACGAGTATGGTAGTGGCGGCAAGTATAGTAGTGATCATGGTAATTAATGGTAATGAGTAATGGTCGCAATAATGAGTATGGTAATGAGCACTGGTAATGAGAAGTGAGAATGAGTTATGGTAACCAGTACAGTACTAATGGTACCATTATTGAAGGTTTGACCAATACCAACTACCTTAATAAAGCACTTCTCATACAAACTTCCACCAGTATTTATATATATAAATCCTCTAGCATCTAAATTTATTTATACTCAATACTCTAGAGTTCACATTGTTAAAATCTACAGTATAACTCGTGCTTATGCTAAACTACCGAACTAAACAATGATAAACAACTAAATTGTACTAAATAGTGCTTTTTGTTACTAGTTATTGCAGTTCTAGCAGGAAGTGGTGTGGCGTCTCTTTGGCAGCTAGGAAGAGGGAAGATATGATTACAACGTAGGAGATACTAAGACGTGTTGTTAGGATGCTTAAAGACTATTATTTATACCTTGGGAGAAGGGTAAACTCGTTGGGGTTACACTGAAACATCAGCACGTCCTCCGACCCAAAACTACGAACTTACAATGTGGGTATGTACCGTATTTTCCGGTATATAAGGCGCGCCTTTTTCCACAAAAAGTCTTGGTAAATAAGCTTGCGCCTTATATGCTCAAGGTAAGAGTCCAGGGAAATCGTTGGCTTACACTTTAGCAGTTGTTTGCTAACTAGACACGTGCAACACCTGTGTATCCTTATTTGGAGATGTTTCGCTCATCAGTGGCTTTTACAGTTCACATATCATCTCTGTAATGAATTGAAGAAGCCATTGTATTGTGAAACGTGTTGAAATAAGGATACCCAGGTGTTGCACCCGTCTCTAATTCTTCAGGACTCTGAACTGACTTTCCCAGCTAGTGTAAACCAGCTGGGTGAATTAAGTCTTTTAAACTAAGGTTTTAGAATTTTCCATTAGATTATCCACATATCATTGTCATGAGTGAATCTTGGTTTAGTCCAAACAGCCACCAGGAGGGAAATATCTATGAGTGAAGAACAAAAAGGCACAATTCCATGACTGGAACAATACACAAATACCTGCACGCAGGAGAATGCAACTTACGACGATGTTTCGGTCCTTCATAAATTTCATTCTCCCATGTACGGGTATTTGTGTAAGATATGAAAATGGAAATTTTTATTTCCTTGCAGAGTTTGCAATGTGTGGTTTAAATGTTATAAAATATTAATTACAAGGAAGGTCACTAGCATGCCCAGGCATTTCGGGCATAGACTGGAAACTAGCAAATGTTACCTCAAGATCTGAAAACTGGGTCGAAATTTGTGCCATTATTTATCGTCCTATCAGCTAAACATCGATTTTAAGTAAGCATGTGGAGATTATTAATTGGGTTACGACAGTTAATATTACAGTGTACCATAACCTAATAACCGAAAGCCATCATGGATTCCACAACAAAAGATCATGCCTGATGCTCTTACTCCAAAATTTTCGATTATATTTACAAAAACCAGATGTAAAAGTTCCATCAGACATAGAATATCTAGATTTCAATGAGACCTTCGATAAGCTATCCTGTCGATGACTGCTGGCTAAAATAAAAGCTCGTGGTATAAGATATAAACTTTATGCCTGGATAAGAGACTGGCTCACAGACAGGAAACAGAGTGGGACTAAACAGAGAGGTGTCTGAGTGGCTAGACGTTAAATGTGGAGTTTCTCAGAGATTGGTTCTTGGACCATTCCTGATCAAAATGCAAGTAAATGATTTCTAGGTAGGGCTATCGTTTACAGGATCAATATTTGTTAATACAAAACTGGGAGGGGTATGGGGCAGCTGCAACATCCAAGGCAAACTGAGTATTCAGAGTGATCCGGACAGGCTAGTGGACGGAGAGGTGGAAGCTAAGTTTCAACGTATGCAAGTAATGCATTTTGGGTGCTACAATCTCAAACATGATTACAACATGTTTTGCAAAAAGCTAACCGATAAAAGTACCTTGGAGTAATCGTAAGCAACGACCAGGAAGATACGAAATAACGCCTATCTGCAAGGTTAACAGACTGATCGTTAAATAGCTAGAGACTTCAACCACAAAACACCAGAAACTATAGACAATAATGCACTTCGATCGAATCTAAAATATGCTGCCCAATTGTAGTCTAAATTACGTAAAAAAAACGAAGAAGGAGCAGAGAAGAGTTACCCATCTCGTAACATCACTAAGAAATAAAACTATGAAGCACTCAGAGTTTTATCTTTTAGGAAAGAGAGACCACAAGATCTCATTCAGTCGTTTAGAATATTTGATTGGTTCTGATACACTTAAACAATAAAAAGATTTTTGAAGTGCAAAACGAGTCCATAACTTTAAACATCTGAATGAAACTTTGAGGCAAAATATGCAGTACGAACTTATGAAACATTTTTTTGCTTATACAATTATAGCAGAATAGAGCTACCAGCTGAAGTTGGAAGCGTGAAGACAGTACAATCATTCACGAACCAGCTGGACAGAACTTTATAAGTACTCGACTCAACCTTATACTACTCTGAAGCAAAATGAAATAGATTTCTGATGTATATTCAGCAACTGCATCAGGACCATCAGTTAACTAAGAGCCAACCACCGTAATTGTGGTTGTTGAGGTAGATGGCTGTGACAGTCAATGATGTGCTATGAAGTAGATCCACTGATATAAATAACTGTGTGACTGTATATGAATGATATTCACTACCGACAAGATAAAGAACTGATAAAGCCACTAGATAGTGAAACTTCTACAGGTAAAGATACCCAGATGAATAAACTGCAATATGGACGCGGGGCTTGAACCGAGGTCCTGAGATTGACACGGCCAACAATTTACCGCTGAGCCCTATCGTTTATTACAATTTAACACTAAGTTAATACCCAGATGTTGCACGTATCTCTGAGTAATGGAGTAATACAAGTAATTACGAAGAAATGGTACTAATTAGTTGAAGTTCATGCATTCCATCTACTTCCACATCTGTAAATTCCATTCTATTTTTTCAATACGAGGTCGTATTTTCTTCTCCTGTTTTCATGGTGGCATCGGCCGGAGGTATTGAAGGGTGAAGAGTCTTCTGCTTTACTCTCCATCCTTCAAACACCTAGATAATACACAGCAGTTCTAAACATAGATAGAAGAAGATAAATTACACATGTGCAACACTTCGGTTTCGCCACATAGTGAAGTCACTGTGTGGCGAAACGTTTCCCCAATAGATACCCAAGTGTTGCACATGTGTCTAATTTATCAACTTGTCGGTTCTCTGAACCATTTATCTACATTGATTCCTCTGTTGTAATTTTTTCAATGTACTCGCATCCTTCCAGCGGAACGTCACTTGCAGTAAGAACGTAATACTCAAGCACACTTGATATTTGAACGTTGTCTGGACATACCCAAACAGCGCTTCCAGCCGTATTTCTAGTTTGTTTCCTGGGGGTTAAGTACACATTTTGAGGGGATTTGTGCCTCATAATCTAAACTTTTTTTATATATTTGGGACGTTCAGAAATGAACGCATGTATTCGAGTTTACAATGAACGGTGTAAACTGCAGAGAGATTAGTAATATACCTGGATTCTCATCGAAGCTAAAGGTATCACTAGGATATTAACAATGGTTCCTCAGTCTGGGGATGGTATGGAAGCAGGACGAGCTGAATGAGGAGAGGTGAACGCAGTTTCGAGAGAAGGTATGACAGAGCCCATGAGGAACATAGACTCTAGTCCAAGAGCTACAAGTCAACCACAGCAGGCACAAATAGGTGAACACACACACACACAGTATGCAGCACCAGTTTGGAACCCACACCTGGGCAAACACGTCAAGAAATTAGAGAAAGTGAAAAGGTTTGCAACAAGGCTAGTTCCGGAGCTCAGGGGTATGTCCTACGAAGAAAGATTGAGGAAAATCGGACTGACGACATTGGAGGACAGGCGGGTCCGGGGAGACATGATAACGACATACAAGATACTGCGTGGAATAGATAAGGTAGACAGACAGGTTGTTCCAGAGAAGGGACACAGAAACAAGGGGTCACAACTGGAAGCTGAAGACTCAGAC